AGACTTTCAAAAACAAAACAAAACAAAAAAACACCTTACTATATTCTGAAGTGTGGTGGTTGAGTTTGTTTCTTTGTTCGTTTGGTTTGGTTTCTGCCATAGAGTGCTTGCACTCTCCAGAGAAGACAGACGGTGAGAAATCATGCCCCCAGGAGGGTGGCCATGCTGCAATTGCTTCCCTTCCACTCTCCTCTTGAGATTTTGGGCATATACATACATGCGCCTGGTATGTTTTTCAAGCCACAGAGTCTAGGATTTGAACCATGAAGTTGACCATGTGAGATCCAGTGCCTTAACCACCACACTGCCCGCTGATCCTGAGCTTTCAATGTTATGTTAATAAGTTAAACACATTGGAAAGTAATGATTTTATTTGTACTATGAGAGAGTGACCATTACAATTGTTCTATTGAACCAAAAATGTAAAGTATCTATTAAAATGTTGTATTAATCCTAATAATAATGCTATCTCACTTAAATACTCTATCCCCCTCCAGAGTTCTGTAACTATCCACATTCACTCTTCATGTTAACACCTGCTCATCCCTCCATCATGTAATGCACATATTGTATTTATCAGCTATTTCAGCCATGAAAACTTAGATTTACTCCTTGGTTATATAAATATCTAAAAGAGATGAAAAGTTTCTTTCTCTTGCTAGAAATTTCTTGGGGACTCATCCAGAAGCCACTATTAGTTTGCTTCTCTACCATCTTGGTCACTGTATTCTGCATTCCTGGCTCAGAATTCCTGGGAGAAACTAAGCAACCCAGAACCCTGGCCTGGGGTTAGGAGCGACAGCCAACTCCAGTGCAATGGTAGTTCAGCACTATGGACAGCAATATGTGTTCTGTGCCCACCCCCCAAAAGATTTTCTTTTAAATTCTTAAACTTTTTTATTTTGAAATATTTGAAGCCTACCACGAAGTCTGAAAAATACTGTACAGCATTCATGTGCCATTAACCTCATTTCCCCCAATGTTAACATCTTACATAACCACAGAACATGATCAAAACCAGATAACTGACACTGTAATAATACTATTAACTCTATATGACTTTGAAAATCATGTTCATGTATTATTTTGCAAAAATACTTCTAGTATGCTCTAACTATACCCAGAATATACCATTTTTGCATTAGCTTGTGTCAAGAAAGCAACAATAGTAACCGGTGAGGTTTAGTGAACACTTTATATGTGCCAAGCATTATACTAATTTGTTTCTCCATTTAATCCTCTCAAGAACTCTACAAGATATATACTATTTATTTATGAGTGAAGAATCCAAGGTACAAAGGTATTAAGTAACTTGCTAAACATCAACAGCTAATAAGCCTCCAGAGAGAGTCCTTGATCTGTTTGCTATCTGTACCCATGTACACACATAGGGTTTCCTCCTGAGAGTCTGGTGAAGTCCTCAGCTTAGGGGACCTCTAACTCACTTCTGGAAACAAGCAGAGAGGAGGGTCCTATCATAGAGGGGACATATGCTATCCACAAGGTACATCCAAGAAAAGCCATTGTTGTGTGAAGGAGAGAAGGAGCCTCTGAAGACAGGTTCTCTCCAAGCATCTGTACAGGTTGTTCAAAGGTCTCCCCAGAATGTAAGCCACAATGACAGCACATTCCATCTACAAACACTCAAGTGTTTTCTTTTTCATGTCTCTGATGTCTGCATTTTTCCCTGAGCATCGTGGTTTTCTAATCAGTCCCGCATGTCTGTTCTCAACCATGTATCGGAGAGTCAGCCAGAAAAGCTGCAAAGTCCTTGGCCACAGAGGCACCTGGCTCTCGAGGATGTGTGCCTCATCGTCTTACATCTAGCAAAGGCTGTTTGATCTTCCTGCTTGGACAAGATCGCACCCAGGCCTTTGTACATCTTCCTTCCAGACCCCGCAATCCCCCTCTCCCAGATCCTTTCCTACTCACCAAACCTAAGCTCTCTCCCTCCGTTGCCTCATCTCCCACGAGCAGCTCCGAGCAGTCATCCCTCTCTCTGGGGCCTCCTCTTGCTTCCACGAAACAAGTCATAGAACGGCATTCTCTCTTTTATCCAGAGATAGGTCCAAGGTCATGTCTGCAGCTAGACAACTACCTCTTAAAGAAGTAACCTTGATTCTGGGACAGTGCCAACCTAAGCACTGTTACTCTGACTTTCTATGCACCTGTGATTTTGTGAGACCTTGATTCCAGTTTTGACATGCAATATGTGGTCACCACACTCACACATCCATGATTTTAAATCTCTCACATCATTTGCCCTTACCTTCAGATACCACCCCCAAGGAATACACACACACATGCATATGTGATATATACACACGTTTACATATATACATACACACATATGTTTAAACACATGTATGTACATGCACATCTGTATATCAATGCATGAATATGTGTTTGTGCATAAAACTTTCTCTGCTACCTAATTGCTAACTTCATTTTTTTTAATTTTTTCAAAATTATCAGTTTTTTTGGTTTTTTTAATTTACTTCATTTTAAAATTCTATTTTATACATTCAATCAGTGTTCATCACCACAGCTTATAAAATGAATTTTGTCAGCATGAATACACTGCACACCGGTCCAGTAAAAGATACCACACATTAAAACTTTCTCTGCTACCTAATTGCTAACTTCATTTTTTTTAATTTTTTCAAAATTATCAGTTTTTTTGGTTTTTTTAATTTACTTCATTTTAAAATTCTATTTTATACATTCAATCAGTGTTCATCACCACAGCTTATAAAATGAATTTTGTCAGCATGAATACACTGCACACCGGTCCAGTTAAAGATACCACACACGTTATCAACAGACAATTCTAATTTTCCTTAGGGCAAGAGCTCTCAGGCTGGGGCTGTATTTAATTCTTCCCAGAATTCCTAAACTCTGGTAAAATCCCAGGCTCATATAATGAGCCCAAGTATCTAAAAAGTAGATTTAAAGGCAGCACATGTACATAAAATGGCCCAAATATTGAAAGGGGAATAATCTCTGCTGGGTCTTAGCTGGGAAGTGTCTAACCTGGCCGTGGACACTGCTCTAGAGCTGGGAGACAGCACAGAACCCCCAAGACCACCCCCTGCTGCAGCCCACAAAAGACTGGCCCATGAAACCCTTCTCACCAAGCACCAAAACAATTCATCCCACAAACTCCTGCCGACTAACTCTGCCATGCCCTCCAAGTATAAAGGAGAAAGCAATCAGGTTAATTTAAAACTGCTTTAAAAATACTAAGGAAAATTGAATGCATAAAGCAGGAGATAACAAAAAATGACAAGCAACTATTTTTTTTTTGAGAGGTTTTTGCATGTGCTCGTCAGACAGACAGAGACAGAGAGACAGAAAGCGAGAAATCACCCCCCAGGGGGGATGGCCACGCCGCAATCCCTTCTCCTCCATTCTCCTCTTGGGATCTTGGGCATGCACGCACACGCGCCCGGCGTGAGTTTTAAGCCACTGGGTCCGGGACATGAACCATGGTCAACTACGTGGGAGTCCAGCGACATAGCCATTGTGCAAACTGCTGGTCCTGCAACTATTTTTATTGTAACCACTGTAGCCAGGCTTATTGCACACATTCTCTCATTTCAGCTCCTCACCAACCTGAGAGGGAGAGATACATTTTCTTCATCTCTGGGAATTCTACAAAGATCTGAGGCCCACGCTGAAGGGCCCAAGGCCTGCAGCTCACAGCCCTGTGGGGTTCTTGAAAGATGGATTCACCGCATCCCATCCCTCTAGCTATCTGTTTCCATTTCTTCTGCAGTTCCTCAGAGACATAACCCAACTTGAGCCATATTACAGTACAGTCTAATAATGTTTCTTTATGATAGAAAAACAGTAAAGATTTCCTGTCATAATACTAAATGCCACTTAAAGGAGTTACAGATGGTGAAGCTGGGCAGATTAGCCAAATTATGGTTTAAACTCCAACTCTCAGAACTGTATCCCTGAGGCAAAGTTAATGTCCGGTGGTGCTTACCCCAGACCTCAACACAAAACAGCTTTCTAAAATGTGATGCATATAAAATATTACATTTCTTAGACTATGTTGGCTTTTGGCTTATTGCATGTTTTCTATTGGAGTTAATACCACCTATTAAGATGTGGGAATGTAAGACAGGCATCTAATACAATGAGCCATTTAGACGAGCCCAAATTCTGAAACAGCAAAGCCCTCCGCACACTGGAACTTGTGTTTCGTTGCTTTTGGTCCTCACTGATTCTTTGCTTTTCCATGTGGAATCCTCCAGCCTTGGCCACATGGTCACAGCTCTGGACTATCAGAGCAGAGAGCTGGACAAGCAGACGGTGTTGATGTATGCCCTCCAGGCCCTGCCCTTTGGGAGGCTCTTCCATGTCCTCACAAAACCACTATTTTCTAGCTGTGCACTTTAACCCCTTCAAGGATACAGGCCTCAGTCTCCCTCCCCACCTCAGGGCATTGCTCTCCTAGAGGAGTTGAAAGTCAGACCAAGAGCTCACTGCACATCATCTCTAGACCACAGCTGAAATGTACTGAAAACAATTGCCTGCACTGGGCTAAGTTCACTGTGTGAATGACTTTGTTTACTCCCCACAACTACAATACAGTTATAATTTTACTATCCTCATTTTACAAAGAGTGAAACTGGAGCAATTCTAGAATACTAAATCCACAGGATTTTATCACAGTTACTGCTGTAACTGTAGGACCCCAGAGCACTGCCTAGGTTATAAGTGGTCAGGAAGTGATTGTCAAGTGAATAAATGAATGAATGAATGAAGTTAAAGAAAATTAACTCAGTGGCCCAAGCCCATGCACCTCATAAACGTTGAGTCTAGGGATCATTTCTGAGAGTGAGACCTCTCTTGATCCTGTGCAACGCCCATGTTGATATTCTCTGAGGAGAACCAGGGGAGAGGGCACCTTGGCAGCCTGGTGAAGGGACAATGTAACAGGCTGGGAGGGACAGAGACCTGAGTCCTGTCCCAGCCCTACAGCTTACCACATGACATCACGCCAGTCACTCAACTTCTCTTAGCTTCAGTGTCCTCATCTAAAATGAGAATAGTTACATGCACTTTGTAGTGTGTTTCAGTGGCTTATAAAAAGCTAAACTGGCTTAGTCATAGTAGTGTGTGCAGATGCGGCTGTCTGGCAGACTTAGGGCAAAGGGGAGGACTGGATTTGATTCCCAGGTCATGCTAAAAGATGGACACAGTGGCACATGCCAGTAGTCCCAGCTGTTTGGGAGGCTGAGGGGGGAGATTGCAACACAGCACGAGCCTGTCTAAAAATCACCCACAAAAACCACACGTGGAGCTTTCTATGTGAACTGCCTAGTGAAGTGCTGTGCACACTGCGTGCTAAACCACTTGCAGTTACTGCATCATGATGCTCACCTCACCACAACCAAAGGGGGCACAGCATCACATCTGTGATGTCCCTGCCAAGAATGCATAACCGACATCTGATAATGGAGGACATTTTACTGTGTAACTGGCCTATCATCTTCAAAAGTGTCAAAGTAATCAAAGTCACAGAAAGACCGAGAAACCGTTTGAGGTTAGGGGCTAGCAGATGGCATCATGGTTACGTCACTCAACTCCCACACAATCAATGATGGTTCAAGTCCTGGACCCGGTGGCTTGAAATTCACGCTGGGTGTGTGTGCATCTGTGCCCAAAATCTCAAGAGAAGAAGGGATTGCAGCATGGTGGAGAAAAGATTATGGTGTGACTATGCCCCATGAGAGGTGCTTTCTTGGCTTCCCTCTCTCTCTCTGTTTCTTTGTGGTGAGCACATGCACCATCTGGCAAATTAAAAAAAAAAAAAACATGAAATAAACCTAAATGTGTTATGTAATCACAATTTATAATTTTTTGTTTCATATATATATATATATATATATATATATATATATACACACATACACACATGTATACATATAAAACCAATATATATAGATATATGACTACATGAAATGTACATCAGTATGGCATCATAGATAATACCTGCTGAAACGACTGAGTAAAATTTCTCCTTTAATTTTCTGATCCAATTTTTCCAAAATAAGGCTATGTTACCTTAATAAGCACAAATAAAATCAGCAAAGCTTAAACAACTTCCCAGAACAAAGCATCTGGTTTTGAGGGGATGCTAAAGTATTTCAGCTAGTTTACCAATAAAATGGAAAAGAACAATTAGTTTGACAGCTTCTTCATACTAACATTATAAGTTAAACTCTGCTGTGGACTAAAAAAAATACATAAACACAAGTCAAACACAATGGAACTGCTGTGCCTCTGGCCGCTGGAGGGCCAGTCCCAGATGTGACATCAATTCTAAAGCCTGCACCGGCCTATTTAGGCAGCCAAGCAGCCCAGTCTCAGCTGCTGTGAATGACTTCGGAAATGCTGCAACATTAGCCCACACTGCTAATCCTGCTAATGCACTTGCAATCTGTTTGACAGGCTGCTCATCACATTCCCTCTGTCAAGGAGAGCAGCCCTTGGAGGTGGCCGTGATGAGGGGATTACTGAAAGGACTCTGGGGAGGACAGGGTGGCCCTCCCTCCACTGCATTCTGACTAGCTTTGTAGATAGGCTGCATACCAGAGAGGGCACCAGACAGGAGCGTGTTCTCCACACCAATCCCCTGGCACAGAGTACAGAGGGAAAGGTTTTCCACTCTTAGGGGTCAGGTGTTTGGTGACAACCATGCCATTCCCCTAGTCCCATGAAGGAAAAGAAGGCAGGTTGAAAGCAAGACTCACAGAGCTGAGGGTCCTGGAGTGTTCTTTAACAGCAGTCTCTTCCTCTCTGGAGCTCCACCTGCCAGAGAAACTAGAAAAAGGTGTCAGCCTCTAGGGATGAGTCAAAGGGCACCCCTGCCCTCTCCTTTCCTTCCGACTGTCTTCTCAGTGAATGGCTGACATCATAAAGGTTATGTTTACAAGCTCAGCCTCATTCAGTGAGCAGGACTGCATTGTTTGCCTTCTGAAGGTTTTTTGGAGAGGATTTTTTTTTTTCTATAGGGCGTATGCGCTCACCAGAAAGACAGAGAAAGACAAAGAGACAGAAAGCGAGAAATCACCCCCCAGGGGGGTGGCCATGCCTCAATCCTTTCTCCTCCACTCTCCTCTTGGGATCTTGGGCACACACGCACACGCGCCCGTGCCTTCTGAATTTTCAGAACTTTCATTTTTAAAGTTTTATTTTCAATATAAGGTAAAATGAAAATAAAAGCTACAGCCTTGGAACTAGCAGATTACAATTATTTGAAAAAGCAATATAATATCCATCCCAGAGCAAGGCTGTTCCAATTCTGGAAAAAAGGTGTCTTCCAGTTAGGCTCGGTGACTCTGGCTGCAGGAGGCAAGGACTCTACGGGCAACAGTAGACAGTTCCCTCCACCCCATCTCAGTCACACACTCTTATTCTCAGCCCAAAAGAGAAGTAGGTTTTCCCCAGCAACACAGTTACCCAGTCTCCTTCCTTTCATTTCCCATCAAGGTTGTTCACTTTGGGAACTGGGCTGTTCTCCTGCAGGTCCCAGCTTAGATAAGGACACCTGCTCTGGGCAGGTGCAGTGAAAGACACCTGAAAGGCCGAGATGGCAGAACGGGCTCGGGTCCTCAAGGAGCTTATAGTTTGCTATCCGAGAGCTGTTGGCCCATGTTAGATGGAAGTGGCTTACCTCCCACTGAGCCCTCTTCCTCTGAAACTGGAAATGAACTTGACTTCGTGTGTTTTTCTAGGGACAAATATTTACAATTCAAATCTTTATTTTCAATGTTGCAAACTTTTTTTTATAATTGTTCTTACTTTGAAAGCAGTTAGATGGATGTTACTGTACCTCTAGGACAAGTCAGAATATCCACGTGCTTCAGCATGTTTCCTAAACATGAGGTCCATTTACTAATAATGACTACTTTCATCTGTATGTGTGTCCCACACAGTCCCCTAAGTCACATGCAGGGCTTCTTTCTGCCTGAACCTGTGTAACTAGCCCCAGACAACAATAGAGCCGGAGTAGCTAGGAGAGAAAAAATCAATTTGACCTCTTCTAATAGCAAAATTGGACATGAACAACCCCAGAAATGAAGCCTAAAATCATTTTTAGATCTATCCCAAGGAGTTTTTAAAATTCTTTTTGTTCTAAGACATTTTTGAGTTCCAAAACAGCTGAAAATACAGTAGCTTTTGCAGATATTTTTAAGATTGCATAAAGAGAGGTGGATAGTTTTTAGCAATGTTATCTACATTTGTGACACAAATTTAAATTTTCTTTGACAAACTATATAGAATTTAGAAAAGATAAGTAGTTTTATTTGCACTGATAGGTAAGAATTGAGGCCCTGAGAGGCTGCAGGATTTGACTAAATTCAATAATACAGCTTGGACTGAACCAAATTCTCCTCCTTCCCAATTCTTTTTGTTTGGTTGGTTGGTTGGGGTATGTGCGTTCACCTGGAGAGAGAGAGAGAGATGGTTACACAGCAATCCCTTCTCCTCCATTTTCCTCTCCGGATTTTGAGCATGCATGCACATGCACATGTGCCCAGTGTGATTTTCAGGCCACTGGGTCCAGGGCTCAAACCTCAGTCACCACATGGGAATCCAGTTTCTTAACCACTACCACATGCTAGCCCCCTTTACAGTTCTTTTGATCTAGGTTTCTACATAAATCTGACCATGCTTACTGAAATAAACACTACATTGTAATGGAAAGAAGAAACTGCATCTTTTAGTCTGCATGATGTCCACACGTAGCCTGCACAGGCCAAAGCCACAGATCTTAATCTATAATATTAAATAAAATTAAGTTTTATAGATAATTATTTCTCTTTCTGACCTAAGCAACTCTAAAAAACCTGTAAGACACAATTTTAAAAAAGAAAAAAAATCTATCCCCTTAGGAAATATTTTGACACCAAAGGAAAGTAACCTAATATTTTAAGAAAATTTGGATAGACTCCTGAAATCCCATTTCCAAAAATTTAATGAGCCTTAACATTCTAGGGACAAATTTCTATTAAAAATTATGATCTGAAAACCAGACAACAGAGTTCGGTATAAAAGAAAACCATGCCCCAGCCAATAATTCATTAATTTTTTTTTCTTTTAGTAAACAAAATAATGAAAGGCTCAATTTCATTGAATCAAAATTCCAGGAAAAAAAAACTTAAGGAATTAAAGCTCATCTAAAAATGTCAACTTTTTTAAATCTTCAGTGACTCTAAATAGTAACATTTAAGAGTAGATAAGCATTTTATAATTTTATAGTAAAAGACTTCACCAGAGCAATTTATGTCAAAAGACAAAGTGATGATTGAGCATTATGAAATAGAAAACACCAGTCTATTGGAGTGGTGACCCAGGATTTGATCAATAATAGGAGTATCTCCAGGAAGGGAAAATTTGTGGAAAATTTTGTAGGAACATTTATATATCGCTTAGTGAGTGATACATGCATTTACCATTACCCAGGGATAACAAAACCTTCCACCTACCCCAGAAGAAGTCATGTGGAGAGCAGTCAAATGGTACCCTCCCTCTCAGACTGGGGTGTCACCAGAGGCCTGAAGGGGAGCCACAACCTTTACCTTCTTCACCCCAGAAGCAAGATGGCACCTCCTTCTCCCCTACCACTGTTGAAGAACTGCTGGGACAGATTTAAGGAATATCCAGAGTTGCATAATAAAAAGTCATCTTTGAAAGGCTCATGGAAAATACATATTATATTTTTAAAAAGCTATGCAGGGATTTCAAATATTTTTGCACCAAAATAAATTGATACTTTAAGTTCATTTTTCCATAAATGTTTTGAAATATTTTTTGTACCAGAAATAAAGAATACAATAGAAAATCATGTCACACCAAAAACTAGGAAAATCTTATTTTGAAGGTAAAAAGATAATCAACCAACCTCAACATGAACCACAGACACTGGAATTATTGACCAGAATTATAAAGCAGGCCCAGCCACAGTGGTACACTCTGTAAGCTGCCTGTGTTTCATAAGCTGGGGTCACATGAGAGGCCCAGGTTTCAATTCTGGTTCAGCCAAAAGGCTGAATACAGTGGCATGTGCCTCAGATCCCAGAGACTCAGTAGGAGAATGAGATAGATCAAGAGTTCAAGGCTGTCCTGGGCAACATAGCAAGACCCTGTCTAGAAAAGATCTAGGCATGCCAATAGCCAGAGCTGAGAGGCTAACAAAAGGATCACAATAGTAAGACCATATCTTTTTTTAAAAAAAGAATTATTTTATCTATCTTTATTTGTTTATTTTAATTTGACCAGAGAGGGACAGAGCAATAGAGTGAGAGAGAGGAAAAAGGGAAAATGAGGAAAGAAGCTGCCAGATCAGAGACTCAAACCACGATTGGCCATGTGGAAGTCTAGTGCCTTTAACCACCATGCTACCTGCCGGCCCAATAAGACCCTATCTTTAAAAAAAGTTGTTTTTTAAAAAAAAGAAAAGAATTTTAAAGTAGACATCATAAAAATGCTTCAACAAGCAATTACAATTACTTAAAACAAATGAAAAACAGAAAGCTTCAGCAAAGACATAGACTATATTAAAAAAATGGAGGTCTAGCAGGTGGCATGGTGACTAAGGTACTGGACTCCCACATGACCAAACATGGTTCAAGTCCCAGACCTGCTGTCTTGCTTTCTCAATTTCCCACTCCCTCTGTTATTCATCTCTCTCTGGTCAAATTAGAGAATAACAATGATAGTAAAAAATAAATAAAATTTTTTTAAATAAAAGAAACCACATGGAAATTTTAGAACTCTAAACATACAATAATTAAGGTCAGGCAACAGCACGATAGTAACACAACTACACCCACATGGGAAAGGTGCTGGGTTTGTTGAAAAATGAAAAAGCATTTGAAGAAATGATGAATGAAAAATGTTCAAATATGAGAAAAGACATAAACCAACAGATTGAAGAACCTGAGGATACCCCCACAAAGGATAAACTAAAAAATGGTCATAGGACAAACCATCATAATCAAACTTTTGAAAATGAAAGAAAAGACAAAGAACATATCTCAAGAGTAGCAAGAAAGAGCCAGATGGTGTGATGGTGGTTAAGGCAGCTGGATCCAACATAGCTGACTGCATAGTTTGAGTCCTGGATCCAGTAGCTTGAAAAATATACCCAGTATATGTGCATGCATGCCTAAAATCCCAAAAGGAAAAGAAATGGAGAAGGTACTGCAGTGTGACCATGCCCCATGGAGAGTGCTTTCTTACTCTCTTTCTCTGTCTTTTATCAGTGAACACACATGCCCTGAGGCAAAACTTTTAAAAGAAAGAAATAAAGAAAGAACGAACGAACCAACCAAGAAAAAGTAATATCATACTTTTGGTAAAAAGTATGTGGAAAGACAATTCCAGCAACAGTGAACCTCTCATCAGAAATCATAGAAGCCAGAATGGTGAAGCAACACTTTTAAGTGCTGAGAGAAAATAACTGAACCCAGAATTCTGACATGATGAAATTATCCTTAAGAAATGAAGGAGAAGGTGAGCCTGCACTCAGGACTTGGGAGCAACTTTGGGACTTTTGACACACTGTCCCCCACCACTCTGGTGGCCTGGCCTGGCATGCCTGCTATCTACCGCAATACTTAAGCCTGTTCTGGGCAGGTCTTCCTGGGTGAGCCTAGGCTGAGGGGTTAGGATCTACAATGGGACTTTTGGTACACCAACCAACTTGACCCTCTTCACTAAGTTATATCTCCTTAGCTTACTACAACCCCATCAAGAGCTGAACATTCAGCAGAGG